ATGAAACCCCCTTCATCCCCTAATTATGGGTTAATTAGTAAAACTTGTATCATTAAACAGTTATTATCTCCAGAAACAAAATTCTTACAATCTAAAAGTATTTTCTGGTTTAAATATCTTGCAAAGGGTTGATAAGCCGTAAAAAACAAATCAGACAACAAAAACAAACTTTCCACAATTTCCTATCTTTTGTACCTCTTAGTAAATTTAGCCTTTTTGCTGTTTCTCCTAAACCCTGTTCTGCCATCGATTTACACAAGCTCGCTAGGTAGGATATGTGTTTTTTTCCCCCATCCCTCTTGTCTTCAATTTGCCCTCCGAGTATCAAACTTTCCAAGCCCTCTTTCCTCATTATGTGCAGTAGAAATATCAACTGTTTCTTCTTCATGATAAGTATAATTGTTCCTTTTGTTTCTATACTCACCGATTTCCATCAATTATATGGTAGTTTTGAAAGGGTTTCTTCTCATTGCAAACCTAAATTTGATAATCTAGTCTGGATAGGATTTTCAGTGTCAATCATATATATATATATATATATATATATATATATATATATATATATATATAGAGGGGTGGCTAGAAATTTTTTTTTCCTTTTCTATGGAGAGTTAAAGGAATTAATTACATACAATGATAAATGTTAACCTTTCCTTATAACTAAACATTCGATATTCATTGACCAAGTAGTCAGTGTTAAATGAAATATTTGTTGAATAAAGTTATGATTCTACAAAACTAATCGGTCACCGAATTTTTCTGATGAAAAAAAAATTAATCATTCTGAAAACCTCTCGTGGACCACACTGAATAATCTCGCGGGCCGTATTTTGTGCTCTTTTATGAATCATGGTCTTTTCTTTAAGCAAAATTAGAATTAATGGAGGAGCTTTGTTATAGACACCGTGGAGTGATAGGATTTGGAACTAGGAGTGAGACCATGTTGTATTTTGTATTTTAATGTTATAGTAAAATGACTTATGAGAGAATATAATATATGAATTTTATACATCAAACTAAAGGTGTGCAATTGAATGAAAAACATGGAAAAATCCTACGTAACGGGTTTCATCTACCAAAAAGACTTTTTATTTCTTTTTTTTATTAAGCTGAAAATAAACAGTTCTGACTTTCACGATATATTTACATCTAGGATCATATAAAATTTTACATTTTTTAACAAAACCACTGCTATTTCAAGTGGGATATTAAAGAAAACAAAAGCTGTAAGGAGCTGAATGAAGTCGGCTGGATTGTGAATGTAGACATCTCGAGGATTTTTTCTGTTTTCTGTTTTATCATTAATTTACCCATACAAAAGTGAAGATAAATTAAACAATCAACTGCTGCTATCTCCTGACGAGTTGATGGACCGATTGCTGGAGGGTCCATCTACGAAACTCTAGAGTCGGGATGCTGAAAATAACATCAATCAGCTGTCAAATTTTATAGTGAGAGATAGAATTAATATAAGTAAAAGGTTTGTCACTTAGCAGACTGGTGTTACCTTCAGCATCCTGACTCCAGAGTTTTGTAGGCGCCCCCCCCCGGGAATAATAACGATAACAAAGATAGTGTGAAGCCAAATAAATTACTTTTTAACTTATTTTAGGATATTACATCGAAAACATGTCAAAATCGCTACACAAATTCAGTCGTGTTTCGACGCATATCAAATGCATCTCATCATTTTGATACGCATCGAACCACGATTCCAGTTGTGTAGCGGTTTTGACAGGCTTTCGATGTAATATCCTAAAATAAATAAAATTGCACTACTTTGTCTAGAGCCCTCTTTTAAATTAAATGTTATGAACGTTTGAATTGTGCTCTATTTGTTCTCATCTTACCTGGACATATATATATATATATATATATATATATATATATATATATACATATAATTTATTCGAAAATTATAGCGTAAATATGTTATGAAATCACTACAAAAATAGCCATTTTCTTTCAACACTTCTGGTGTCTTATCAAGTGATGGTGTTGAATGTAGAATAAAGAGTTTTTTCTTATCATGTAATGGTGTTGAATGTAGAAAAAAGAGTTTTTTTTTTTAACTTTTTATTCTACAATCAACACCATTAGATGATAAGACGCCAGAAGTGTTGAAACAAAATGGCTATTTCTGCAGTGATTTTATAACATATTTATGTTATAATTTTCGAATAAATTATATTTGCTCTACTCTGTATTGGGCACTCTTTTAAGAATAGTATTTTTTGGTTATTGCAATTTATTCCGTATACACCAATCCTATACTTGTATATATATAACAAAAATTAGAAGATATATCAGACTTAATAAATTAATATAAATCTCTGAGAATGACAGAGCTCCAATACAGACAACAATTGTGCTTTGATCTCAACAAACATTTTGAAAACACACCTAGAGCATGTGAAGACTTCACATAAATTTTTCAGTTATTGTGCGATGTACAATGTCCTAACACGTCAAAGGTATTATTAATAGAATCTGCCATTGAACAGTGGAAAGTCGGACACAGTACAAAGTACAACACCAGATTTGTCGCGTCCCAATTCGATGAGATTTGAAATAAGTGGTAGTCAAGAGATCAAGTTGCAAAGTTTCTTGTCGTTTTCATCAGACCGTCTTTTCATAGATTGGAAAGTTGCAGGACCACATAATGAGCAGAGAAAGAATGCAGACTGAGAAAATGAAGGATTTCTACAAAATAACCGAGAAGGCTACACTGATGAAACTATTACTTCATGACACTTTCACAAGATAATCATAAGACGTTTACAGCATATTTCAATAGGTACAGAAAGAAGCAGAACACTGTAGTTCTAGGTGCACTAGATGTATATGTATTATTGTTGAGGAAAGTCCACAAGAGAAACCATGTCGAAATTATGGGAATCTTAATATATTTAGAGGCTTACGGTCACATCACGTTGAAATACCAGTTCCCGTACGATCACCGAAGTTATGCAACATTGTGATGTCTCTTACATCATACCAGCAGGGATAGACTTGTGCTCACTCTCACAGGAAAAATAAAACTTAGAGAAATAGTGCTAAAAAAGCATGTTAAATTGTAAATTAAATTAATTTCTGTACTGGAATGTATTTATATTTATTTATGTGTTTTAACGTTGCATACAATAAAAGAAAGTCATTTCATCTTACAACAAGCAAGGTGCCGAGGAGAGAAAATGGACATAGCGAAGATAATGAGTTTGGCATTTTTTGATGCGAAGTCTCTTTTCAGGCAAGAAAAAAAATTCTATTGCATGCTGAAAGAGCTTTTATTATTGAGGTTTTGCTTATTTTATTTTATTAAACAAAGTTTTAATGTTATTTGTTTTATTTTATTTTTATTTATGATATACGTTATTTTTAATTTTTATTTATTAATAATAATATTTAATATTAATATTAATAATATAATATTAATATTAGATAATATATATTAATAATATAATATTAATAATATTTATTATTAATAATAATGTCCCTATAACGTCTAGCCTGTTTTTTCTAGATGGCTGACCGCTTGGAAATACCAGGTATTGTAAGCTTGGATGTGTGGGTGGTGTAATGGATAATGGCTCAGAATTGTTAATTGAAGAGCGGAGTTCCAATTCCCATTGGGTTCGTCATATTCACTTACACGCAAATACCTTTATGAAAGATGTAAATATACTTTTTTCTCCGCCACCAGTAAATAGTAAGGATTATATCACTAAATTATTATTATTATTAAAATCTAAAAAACAATTTTCCAACTTTAAATAACCCGCAAAGGGTTGATAAACCGTAAAAAAAAACGAATCAATCAATAAATAATAATTTAGTGGAATTGATGAAGATGGAGAATCCTGCTTGGAGTACTACCTAGGTAGCGTTCATGCCGCACTGAAAAAATGAATATTCATGTTCAAACTCAGAGAAAAATAGAGATAAGTATAAAAATGAAAAAGTAAATATTGTGTCACAGTTGTGACAATAAAGTTATTGTGTCAGATGTAAAAAAACAAACAAAACAAAAAAAAAAACAAAAAAAAACGACGTTATTCTGTAGCAAACGGCGAAAAACCGGTCAGTTTGTAAATAGTTATAAAAGTTACAAAGATCTAGTCAAACCGGAAGAAGAATCTGAGTCAGGTAACCTCCACGATGAAGATACTTATATAGCATCGACGTGTTTTGAATAAAGTCCAGAAAAACCAGAAAGTTAAGAAGCTTAAGCTGTTATCTAACAAACATAACAAGACGTTCTTAAAGGCACAAGTTATTGCGAACAACATCCTAAAGTCGGTAATAATAGATACAGTTGACAATCTATGTGGGACATTGTAATCGTAAAAAAGAAAAAATAGTTTTCTTCTTAAAATTACAAGACTCTACAACTGTCAACCTATTTCAGTCTATGGCAAAGCACGCTGAGTAGTTAACTTTGGGGATACATTTATCTCTTGCATATGGTATATAATTTGATAGTCGTGGAACTCATCCTGGCAAGCAATGTTATATTACAAGGAGACATCGTCAAATTCTGTCACCAAATGATTGCGTTACAACCAATGTTCATGGTTGATATTGAACTTAGAAGTGAAATGCAGCCTTGTCTTGTTAAATATCCACAGAATTTATATAGGAAAAGAGGAAAGAACACTAGCTTAGCTTCATACACATTCAAATGTCAAACCAGTGAAAATGCCACCATATGCTATAAAATTTGCAAAGGCGAAAGTAGTTTGGTTACGTTAGCTTGATTTTGTTTAGCGACATATCAACACCTCTATGGGTTATTTAATACCGAAATGTAAATATTTTATTTTTATCTTTTTGGAGATAATAATGGTTTTAGCGATACAGCTCTTACTAATTAACCCATAGCTAGGGGAAAAAATTGGATTCATACCTTTCCCAAGGGTATTTGTGCGTAAGTGAATATAACTCTGTTCTCCGATTAACAATTCTGAGTCATTATCCATTGCACCACATACAAATCCAAGCTTACAGCACCTGATATTCTCAAGTGGTCACCCATCTAGGTACTGATCCGGCCCGACGTTGCTTAACTTCGGTGATCATACGGGAGCCGGTGTTTTAACGTGATGTGGTCGTAAGCCATAAAGAAAAGCGATTAGACGAGTGAAAGACTGCACCATGGAGCTATCTAATGCTGTATTGTTACCAAAGACATGTGGATCAATAAACATCGCAATCGACATTAACAAATCTATGCAGTCCACAAATCAAACCATCCTCAGACAAGAAAGAGCAAACCTTTCCAGTTGTAAAGCATTCTTATAAATGGATTTTAAACTCCTGTTCTTGTAGATAGGACTGGCACCAGAGGCATGTTATCCTTCTAAATTTCATGCTAAAGATGCTAAGACTATTTTGATACAAACGAAATAAATCCAACCCAGAGTGAGTTGAGCGTTGCTCTTCATTCTGTTTTCACACACATATTAAAAAGACTCTTCTGATATATGTTGGTCATTTTCTACTATCAAGACAACGAAAAGAACATACTCAGATCATCATGATGGTTGTAATTTCAAACTAAACCATAACCCGGCAAAATACGACATTGGCAAATGATATTGTGTGCTAGCATATGATATCTAGTGTTGATGGAGTCAAGCCAGGCTCTGAAAAGGTGGAGGCACAGGACTATATCACAAATCCAAGTAGTAAAGAAAATTAAATAAGCTTCTTGTGCATGATTCATTTAAACACAGACGTCATAGCAAACTTTGTAACGCCGATTGCCATATTCTGTCTTTCTGAATCCTGTTCTTATTGTATTTTATCCTTACTAAAGTTTTTTAATTCTTCTCCACTCCATTAACCCATTGCGTCATAGTGGCATTATCGCCTTGCTTGGTGTGACATGATTGAAATAAAGTTAACGAAAACTCGGGAAAAGTAGCTGTCATTTTAGATGTGCAATTTGACATTAGAAATGCTCAAAGGAAAAATTTAAAGCATTATAAAAAAATAGATGCACAATTTCGATATACATAAATTAACTTTTTTTGTTGATGCCAATGTAACAAGATTTGATGCATTTCTTGCCCAAAGTGCATTTCTCTAAACTCTACAACAAATGCATTGCTGTTTCTTACTTTTCTGCTCGTTGGAAATCCTCTTCTGTAGTTCCAGGCTTGAAGGACATCTGATTCTTCTATCGGCCTATTTAGCCTTCTGCCTGATTTTAGCAAAATACTCGAGGCTCTAATCAACTCTAAATTAGTTGCGCATCTTACCTCACAGAATCTTTTTTCAGATAAGCAATATGGCTTTTACTTCTCTAGGTCAACTACTGATGTGTTTATTATTGGTAAAAGAGTCTATCACGGTTTAGATAAGAATAGTGAATATCAGGCTGTTGCTTTGAACACATCTCGAAAGCATTTGATAGGGTTTGGCATACTGGTCTTCTTCACAAGTTGAAGGGTTAGAGTATTTCTGGATGGATTTCTGAACTGATTCAGTTTTCCTTATTAAATTGTGAAATAAAAGTTCCCTTGAATGGCCACTCTTCTAGATCTTTTTGCATTAATGCAGGTATTCCCCAGAGCTCTATCCTTGGACCTACATTGTTCCTAATTTTCATGAACGAGCTTCTTGATGTCATCAGTTTTCAACTCAGTATCTAGGCTGATAACACAACTATTTACTCTTGTCTTAATAGTAAGTCTGAACGGTTGGATAAGGTTAAATTGGCAGCTAATCCAAAAAAAAAAAAAAAATGACCTACAGTTTATAGTTAACTAGGGCAAGAAGTATCTTATTAATTTTAATGCCTCCGAAACTGCTCTCTTTTTAATCCTCAGGGAGAACCCTTTTTTATCTTCCTTCAGCATGGCTGATGCTAACCTCCAGGAGAGTGGTTCATTGCTTCTTCTCGTGTTAACGTTTTCCGCTGACATAAAGTGGAGCGATTATATTGAATGAATTGCTAGGTTTGCTGCAAGGAAAGTAGGTTCATTGTGTCGTGCCAGATAATCTTTCTTGACAGAATCAATCTTATATATTTATTTGTCTTTGCTTTGAGTACTTCTGCCACATCTGATCTGGTGCCCCTGCTATATATTTAGAAATTCTTAATAAAATCCAAAGAAGAATCTGCAATATTATTGGTCTTGAACTGGCATCTCGGTTTCAGTCACTTTCATACTGCCCTAATGTATCTTTCTTGTGCCTTTTCTATAAATACTTCCATGGTAATTGTTTCAATTAACTTTCCTCTATGCCCCCTAGAGTTTATGAACTTAAGTGCAGTACTTGATTGGCGGCAAAGTCTCTCTCTCTTTTTTTTTTTTAAAGTTAAAATTGCTATGTGTATCTGTAAGTTCTATGCTAACAGTTTCTTCCATTTCATTTCTCATTTTAGTGTATTTCATTTCTCTTCCAGTGTCTTGCTTCCCAATCAACTTTGATCTTCAAAAAATTTAGATGCAATGTCAATCATTATCTTTTCAATTCTTGTTCATTTACTGTTTTCTCTCTCATTCATAATGTTTTCTTTCTCACATATTCTCTCTTAGTAACTCCTTGTGTCTTAGTGGCTTTATTGTCTTGCTTTCTATGCAAGGATTTAAGAAGCATAAAAACTACTCACTAATTAACATTTAGGTTTTGCTTTTACAGTTGAAATGGCTAAATGTAAGTTCTATTCTTTTCTCACTTTTCTCACCTGTGGAATTCTCTTTCCAGGTTCTTGCTGTCTAGGTTTGATTTTAAAAAATTTGAATGCAATGTCAATTGTTATCATCTGTTTTTTTTTTTTTTTTTTAAATTCCTGTTCTTTTATTGTTCTCTTGCCTTAGTGCTTTTTTCTCATATTCTTTAACACTCAGGCCCCCTGCCCTGCATCTTAGTGGCTTTATTGTCTTGCTTGGTGTGAAAGGATTAAAAAAGGAAAAAAAAGATGAATCGATTCTACAATTAGATTTATTTCAAGGATTATCAGTAGGGGAACAACTCTAGATGGGGGTGCAGGACAACTCAACAACGTCAATTCAACAGCGCCGACTGAGTGCCGGGTTCAATTCAGGACCGAGGCAACTCAGCACCAGAAAAACATTTTTTTTTAATAACCGAATAAAAGTAATTTATGAATTAAAACCTTAATTAATGAATATTTTAAATTAAAATATATTTTATATTAAATATATTTTATATTAAAAAATAAATTTCTTTACGTTTTACTTTATTAAAAATTATTAAAAGCAAAAAAATCAAATGCCTTATTTGAAGAAAAATATTCATTAATTAACGTTTTAATCCGTCATAAATTACTTTTATTCGGTTATAAAAAAAAAATTATGTTTTTCTGGTGCTGAGTTGCCTCGGTCCTGAATTGAACCCGGCACTCAGTCGGCGCTGTTAAATTGTCGTGCACTCTACCTAGATACCCATTGTTGTGCTCCTCTGCCAGTAAACTTTGACTTACGGCGATTCTGTAATTATTTGGTTGGTGCTATAAGAACTGTTACGGTCATCAGAGATCATAAACTTTTATGTGCAATCTTCAATCTCAAAAGAAAAGTTTTATTAGAGGTGAGAGAGAGAGAGAGAAAAAAAAATAAACCGCTAAAATATTCAATTTGAATTATACTATCAAAGTGGCAAAGATAAGCAGACAAATTGCATTTTGAAGCGTCGAAAGCCTTTCACAAAGATTTCCCTAGAGGTGGAGGAGGAGGAATGAATGAATGAATGAATGACCTCAACAACTTATTGTTTACACTGTACACTGCATTGACAAAACTGAATTAGAAAAAAAATGAAAAGAAGTCCATGGAAGGTAAAACTATAGCAAGATTTTTCGATGCTGTTGCATCGGGGAGAATTGGACTGCTAAATTTGTAAATGAGCAGATAAAAATGGCTCACCCAAATTCTTAAAATAACTGAGAAATAGAGGAATATTGCTCAAGGATTAATGTATTTCGCCACTAGAAAGTTTGCAGGAGAATACCATAGCAATGATTCATAGAACTCAATGATACAACTCAATGTAACAACGATTGCGGACTCCAGTGATAAAAAAGTAAGTTATTGGAGTCTGTATAAGAGATATCCAGGTGCCATCAAACCATTTTGTGTTCACTTTCCTAAAATAAAAATGAGGGAATGAGTACTGATATACAAAAACAAGAAACCTAATAATGGTACATAGTGTTTTCCCCAAATATTTGGTTTATTAGGCGCACAGAAAAAGGTCTCTTATAGTGTGAAATTGAACAGAAGGAATTTGTTTAATTAAAATAAATGTATGTCAAAAGAAAAAAAGTGTGAAAGGATTGCCCAAACATTTTGTGCGCCGAATAAAAATTAATCTAGGGGGAATATTCATGTGAAATTGAGACTTATATTTGTTTATAAAGTTATACCCATTATAAAGGAAATATATAGCGAAAGTTCACATGTTGTTGTTAATGTTCTTCTTATCTGTTAGGTGTCGATAGATCAATCGTAGCAACCAAGCGCCTGTTGTTGAATGAGGAGTTCCGAATGAAGAATTATGATAGCAGCCATATATCTTCGAGGAGGACTTGGTCTGCTTGATTATAATTCCAGAAGAACAAACATTCAGTTTTTAGTTTTGTTAGTTTTAAGGAGATGGAACTTCAGAACACTTCACATCAATGTGGCCAGTTTGAAAATATAAAGAAAGAAATGAATAGTTTAAACTTTAAATTTTTCGCATATGACTAAAATATTTTAGGCATATGCAAAACTAGGTGTGCAAACAATGGAGATTTTGTCAGTGAAAGACACAGGGTCATATATGCAAATGGGGTGAAAATGAGAGAGGAGTAAAACTGATATTAGACCCAGACATGTGGAAATGTGTTCTGGGATACTATATCAACTATCTGCTCTTGTAGTTAAGCTGAAAGAGAAGCCTTTTAATCGTAGTATTATATACACTGACAGTACAAAGTGCAGAATAAGAAATTTAAAGGTTTTACTGTACACTAAACATTACCACTACACGCAAGCCACCAATCTGTCACTGGATGACATGCCACTAGAATTTACCGCTTGTGGCCAGCTGTTGGGCCGACGGCGTATTCGTCTCGGCAGTGTTACCACTGGTGGACCGC